GCTTCCCTCTCATGTATGAATGATTCTGTGTAGCAGGAGACATCCTGGCTCTCTGGATTTTATCCCCTTTCCCGTCCCCTCTTTCACAATGTTCCCTCAGCTTTACCTGTAGGAGTTTAATTGTAGATCTATCTGCTGGGAACACCCACTCTTTGTCATTCACTCTCTTCATTTTGACCAGTTGTGGCTCTTAGTAATTGTCTCTGTTGCAAAAAGAAGCTTCTTTGATGAGGGGTGAGAGCCTCACTTACTTGTGCATTTAAGGATAAGTTTTTAGACTACAGTTAGAAATTCCATTGTTTTAGGGAAATAGCAGTAGCAGGTTCCTCTAGGGTCTACGAACTCTCCAGCCATGAGGATTTGGCTAGGTTTACCAGGCATGAATTCACTCCTATTAAACAGACCTTAAGTCCAATTAGACAATTGTTTCTTACCCCCATGATAAAAGTGCCATTATTATACCATTAGGGCTATTTTACAACTGGGTAGGATTATTGATTAGTTTTATCCCTTGGAAGATTGCATAGTAACTTCTGATATTAGGACAGCTGGTCCTCAGGGAGGAGACATACAGGTCAGTTCTAGCTTGATTCTTTCAGGTCCTGTGTATGAAGTGCGGTGTCTTTAGTAATAGTGTTTTATCTTCAGGTTCTGGGAGGCAACTAAGAGCAATGGGAATAGCCTATATTGTTTTGGGAGTCTCTTGGACTACCCTGACAAACAACTTTAAGGGAGATTTCACATGCCTTGCACTGGGGTTTTTGTTAAATACCCTATGGTTATGAAGGGAGTGGTATTTATCACCCTATGTGGCATAACTCCAATTGAAATATATTTTGTGTTATTAAGTATGCTTATAAAAATGATATTCTTCCTTATGTTTTTTTCAAACATCTGTGGTGTTAATCATCTTTCCTCCCTACCTCTTTATTACCTTCCCTCCCTCCTCCCCAGTTACCAACCCATATTTCCCATTTGATAGCACCTGTGTCCTACTGTCCCCCTTTCTAGAGTTCTATCTCTGCACCTCACCCCACAGTCTCTTTCAACTCTCCTGTCTTCTGTGGTTACTGAAGGTTCTACACTCACTTCTAATAATTCAGAGCTAGGATTCAGAGATAAGAGAGAGCATGTGGCATTTGTCTTTCCAGGTCTGAGTTCCATCCATTTACCAGGAAATTAGATGATTTCACTTTCTTTACAGTGAACTAGAATTCCAATGTGTATATATATATCACACTTTTACCTTACTTTTGTTGTTGTTTTGACTAACTTAGGACAATACAGGTGATGCATCATTTACTTCTATACTTCTTGACTGGAGATGTAATGTGACCAGCTATCTCAATATCTTGCTGTTGTGACTACCCTACCAACGTGAACCTTAACCTCAAAATGTGAGCCCAAATTAACCTTATATTGATTTCCTCAGGGTGTTTTATTAGAGCAATAATAAAGATAATTCAAACAAGTACCAATGCTATAGATGAGGGATGTTTAGAGTATTTCTATTTTAGTGTTAGAGAGATGTCTCAGTAGTTAAGAGCAAGTACTACCCTTCCAGAAGACTCAAGTTCAGTTTCTAATACCTACATCAGACAGCTCACAAATGCCTGTAACTCCAGCTCCAGAGGATATGATGTCCTCTTCTGGCCTCTACAGGGACCTTCACTCACATGCACATACACTCTCCATACACATAATTAAAACCTAATTTATTTTAATTAAAAATTTAAAAATAAATCTTTAAAATATTTTTATTCCAATAAAATTAGGACAGATGTCAATGCCCAAATCTTATAAGATAGCTAACATGAGTAGCCTAATGCTTAGTCAAGAAATTGAAATTATAATTGAAAACTTTCTTACAAAATAAACTTTGAACTCAGATGGTTTTATGGGAGAATTATACCAAACATTTAATATAGAAATAACAATTCTATGTGAAAATTTCCAAAAAATTTAAGAGGGGAAACTACTTTCCAAGGATTCCTATAAAGTCAACATAACCTAATTTCAAAACATGTCAGAATACCTGATGAACCAAGGTGATAAAATTATAAACAAACTATTAGTAAGTTGAATTTAATAATTTGTAAACAATAATACATTATGATCAAGCAGAGTTCATCCTACAAGTGGAGTGTTGGTTTACCTTCTGATAACTAAATATGTAATCCTTCATATTAACCAGTTAAATATAAAACAGCAATATATAATCATCTCAACAGGGACAAAGAAACTTAAAAAAATCATAATCTTTACTTCAGTTAAAAAGTAACTCTCAAAAATCACCAGGCATGGTGGTACACACCATTAATCCCAGCACTATGGAGGCAGAGACAGACAGCTGGCTGTGAGATGGAGGCCAATCTGGTCTACATAGCAAGTCTCAGGCCATCAGGGGCTACAGATCCTGTCTCAAAACTTCTCAGAAATTTCAGAGTACAGTGAAAATTCCTCATCTCAATGAGGATATGTACAAAATTGCAAATCACCATCATTATTCTTGATGGTAGAGTATGAAAACTTTCTCTCCACAGCTGGCTGCAAGGTAGGGAAGCCAGCTCTTACCATTTGCATCATTGAGATGAGACTCTGGTCAACATAGTAAGGCAAGAAAAAGAAATCAATTCCATATGGGAAAACAAAACTAAAGCTCTTTTTATTCACAAATTTCACATTCATCTACAAAGAAAAGCCATTTAAAGCTAAGATTAGTAAGATTGCAATATAACGTGACCAAGTTGCAAATACTCCATTGTGATTCCATTTACTAGTCCAAATAATCAATTGGAAGAGAGTGCCACTTTTAAAATATTTTTTAATTTTATTTATTTTTATTTTATGTGTATAAGTGTTTTACCTACATTCATGTAAAGTAAATGCACCGCATGTGTGCAGTGCCCATGAAGGTGAGAAGAGGGTGACAGAGTCCCTGGAACTGGAGTTACAGAGAGTTGTTAGCATCATGTGGGTTCTGGGAACTGAACATGGGTCCTCTGCCAATGCTCGTCACTGCTGAGCCATCTCTCCAGTCCCTTAGAATGTCATTTATAATAAATAGCAAAACTATGAAATACTACTAAACATGGTGGCACATGCCCATAATCCAGCTCTGAAGAGGCTCATGAGTTTGAGTCTAGCCTGGGATACACAGAAAGACCTTGTCTCAAAAAATATGAAATAACTAGGGACAAATTTTATAAAGGATATGCAGAATCTATATAATAAAAACCATAAAACATTGTTGAGAGGAGTTGAATGTCTAAATAAATGGAGAGTCAAGCCATGATCTTTCAAGAGTGGTAAGATTCTCCAGGAATCAGATGAGTTGAAAAACTCTTTATTGATTGACCAACTATTGTCCATAAATTAAGTTGGGCCAGGCCTATTTTTATAGAGCTTCACAAATTCAAATGGATATTTACACATTAACTATGGCTGCTTTTATACTATGATGGTAATTGAGTTAGAGCCTGATGGCTTCAGTATTTTCTACCTTTGGCTGGAGAGATGGCTCAGCACTTAGAGCACTGGCTGCTCTTGCAGAGGACCCGGGTTTGATTCTCAGCATCCACATGGCAGCTAACAATCATCTGTAACTCCAGTTCCAGGGGATCCAACACCCTCTTCTGACTTCTGTGGACATTTCACAACACAAATGCACTTACATGCATGCAGATAATACACTAATACACATAAAATGAAAATAAATAAAATATTAAAAAATATATTTTCTACCTTTCCTTTGACAGAGTATCTGCTGGTTTCTGCTCAATATTGTTAGAGTGTCAAGTAGTTTCATGTTGGTCTACAGATTTAATGTAATTCCAAACACCATCCAAGCATTTTGGGTAGAAATCTACAAATATATTCTAAAGTTTTTATAGACATACAACATTCTATAGATTCTAGAATAAGATTAATAAAAGAAACAAATCTTCAGATTTGACAAACTAATATTTCCTGATTTTAAAACATTATGTAAATCTATAGTAATGAAAATAACATGTTTGTTATTTATACCAACACAACTAAATCTATCACTGAAATAAAGTCCATAAATAGATCAACATTAAAGGTAACACCATTTAGTAGAGATATGAAGTCTTTTCAGTTAATGATGCTGGAACAACTGCATATTTGTATCAAAAGCAAACCAGAAAATACAAAATAAAAACATAAGTTTCAATTCATCCATTGCACTATATACAAAAAATAACTCATGGTAGATCATGCACCAAAATGCTAAACCTAAATCTATATTACTTCTTGGAGAAAATTCAAGAGAAAATATGTGATTTTGATTTAGATTTCTTAGACATGACCACCAAAAGCATAATCCACAAGAGGATAATTTGACAGTCTTGATCTCACTGAACTTAAAAGCATCAGTTCTTCAAAACACACAATTGAGAAAACGAAAAGACAACCATGTAGTAGGAGACAGTATTTTCAAAGCATGTAGCTCTTAAAAGTTCTTATATCTGCATGAGATAAAGATACTCAAAACAGGGGCTGGAGAGATAGCTCAGTGGTTAAGAGCACTCTTGTAGAGGACCTGAGTTAGGTTCCAAGCACTCACATGATGGCTAAAAACTGTCCTTAACTCCAGTTCCAGGGAATGCCACACCCTCTTCTGATCTCCATGGGCGTTGCATGATATGGGTGTGGGTGCACTTACACACATGCTGGCAATATACTGATACACATGAAAAAATACCAAAATATTTCTTAAAAACATACTCAAAACATAGACCATGCATGATGGTGCATGCTTTTAATTCCAATATTCAGGAGGCAGAGGCAGGTGGATCTCTGTGAGTTTGAGGCCAGTCTGATCTACATAGTAGCTAAGTAACAGCAGAAACAGTCCATGTGGTTGGATCATGTCATATGTACACTGTTTGGCTCCATGTTTTCAGTTTTAGAAAAGCACACTGTTCTCGCCTCAGCAGCATAAACATGTGTGTGTGTGTGTGTGTGTGTGTGTGTATGTGTGTGTGTGTGTGTGTGTGTGTAAATTGGAATGATACGGAGAGGATTAGCATGGCCTCTGTGCAAGGATGACATACAAATTTGTGAATCATGCTTTATTTTTTTTAAACAAAGAAACACCAACAGATTTATTTTGACAGCAACAACATCAGTGGTTGTTTTCCAGCTATGTGTGTGCTGTTTATTTCATTTCATGCTTTTGGGTTCTCATTGATGATCATCATCCCCTTTCTCATTTCCAGAAAGTGTTGGGGCCTGACCTAGACCCACTCTTTCTCTTTCTTTTAGATTTGTATATTGTTGGAAAAAATGACAGTCAAATTCTTACATTATAGGTTTCTATATTTTTAGATGCTTTCGATGTTTGAGTATATGTATTATATATTATATAGAGTATGTTCAATATTAAAGTCATTGATCCTATTAAATATTAGCTGGACATCAAGAACTCTACACACAGTCCCTTAGGGAATGAAGACCAGTAAGAAAGCAAGTAGAAAGAAAGTTGGTTTCAGAAAGTCTCAAATGGCTCCTGCTGTGTTTGTTGGCTTTCTGGTCTACTGCGGTGTGACACACGCTTTACTGTGATAAACTGAGATGATCAGTCATAACTCCCCAGTCATAATAGACTGAAGCCTAAGGAAATCATAAATCAAATAAAATTTTCCTTCTTTAAGTTGTTTTTGTCAAATATTTTGGTCACAGTGGTGCAAAAGGGAATTAAACATTACAGATAAAAAATTTAAACTGACAGTGTAAAGCAGGGATCATCAAATCTGACCATATTTTAATTAATTCATTTTTTTGAGACAGAGTTTCAATATCCCTGGCTGGCCTGGAACTCACTATGTAGACCAGGCTGGCCTCAAACTCATAGAGACACACCTCCCTCTGCATTCTGAATAAAGGTGAGTGCCACCAAACCTGGCCTCAAATCTGGCTATATTTTAAATATATTGGAAAGACCTTTAAAACTACTTATCAGTAGCTGAGCCCTAACTGCTACCAACAAACTCAGAATCTTTGGAATGGGACTCCGTAATACTATTTACAATAATTTCCCCCAGATAGTTTAAATTGCTATGGGTTTTGATAACTGCATATAGTTGTAAAGTCATGAGTGCTGAAACAGAAAGACTTCCCTGTCATTTTCAATCTGAATGGCCCTAGGTGGGGTATCAAAAAGTAGTGCTCAACATAACTGAGTATGGAAGTCATCTGATGCTTGAGTCCCTCCTGCTATTGTTCTTGTTCAGTGATCTGCAGAGTGGCTGAGGTACAGAGTGATATTTAGGCAATGTATTAAGAATTTGAACGTTCAGTGAAAATTATGAACTGGTGCTTTTCATAACATAGGGGCAATACTTCATAGTACTTTGTTTTGCTTGGGTTTGATTTAGGTAATGTTCTAATGAATAGTGTGTGTGTGTGTGTGTGTGTGTGTGTGTGTGTGTGTGTGTGTGTATGTGTGTGTGTGTGTGTGTGTGTGTGTGTGTATGTGTGTGTGTGTGTGTGTGTATGTGTGTGTGTTTGTAGTTCTTATACAGCTCCTGAGTTTATGTTGAACAGTTGATAAAAGTTGCAGTCATTATTTTTGTGTTTTCTGAAACTCTTCAACTCAGGAAAAATAGGATCTGTATAAGAGAATTCCAAATCAAGAATGTTTTGCTCATCTGCAAAAATGAGATCTAATTTATATTTTAAGAAGCAGAAACTCAAAGGACCATATGATCAGATGTTATTTTAAATTGAATAAAACTAAGGTGAAATGAGGCTTTGTCAGTGTCTCAGAATTAATCTTTTGAAGAAGAAATTTATCTGGAGGGAAAAGCATTGGCTTGAGATATTGTGAACACAGTGGCGGAGGGGCTGCCAGTGGACTTGTCGCAGTCCTCAGTCTTGTTCGGGAGCTTATTGAAACAGGTTAGATGGGAAAAACTACTCTTTTGAAAGTAAGTCTTCCTCTTGTTAAATGATTTTTGTTTTGGCTTTTAAATGTGACCTTTCCCTATTGCAAAGTAAGGATCACTAAAAGCTAAGAAGACAATCAGAACCCCATAAGCATCTAACTTGAGGATGTAAATGAAAGCCTGTGCCAAGTCTCCCTGGGACTGACTCAGGTTGGCTAATGTGAGACACTAATATAAATAGCCATATGCTCTTAGTCATGGACTGTTATTGTCGTTTATGAGGCGGACCTTTGCCACCACCTAATAAGTCTCCATCCCTTCAGCCTCCATCCACCTCTCTGGGCAAGGCACAATCTTCTCTGCAACACTCCTGAGACCACAGCTTTCAGTCTGATCAAGTAACTTCTCACTTTGGAGTATGAAACAAATCTAGCTGCCAGGTCTCATCAAATTGTGCTGCTCCCTCGAATGCTCTAATCCAGCCTAATGCACCTGAATGTGATCATCTTTATGAACATTTTCATTTCTCACCTAAGAAGGCATCTAGAGTATCTTGAGCCTTATTTTTATGCAATCACCATGTGTCCTAGTTGCTGTGATAAAACCCTGACCGAAAGCAACTCGGGAGGAAAGGGCTCATTTAACTTATGCTTCTAGGTCACAATCCTTGACTGAGGGAAATTAAGGCAGGAACTCAAGTCAGAACTTCAAGCAGAAACCACAGAGGAACTCTACTTGAGGGCTCACTCACAGGCTTATGCTTAGTTAGCTTTCTTAGACAGTTCAGGACCACCTCCCCAGGAATGATGCCACCAACAGTGGGTTGGGTCCTCCTACATCAATTCACAAGTCACTTCCTCACAGACATGCCCACAGGCCAGTCTGATCTGGGAAATCCCTTGACTAAGAGTCCTCAGATGACTATAAACTGTGTTAAGTTGACAGTTAATACCATGTCAGGCATTAACTTAATCACATTGAGTGACAATAACAAATTAGTTTTTGGCTCAAACAGATGTTTATTTCTCAAGTTCTAGACTGGAAAGTCCATCCATGATCAAGGTAAGGGCTTTCTTCATGGCTCTCAGACAGCTGTGTTTTTGCTACACCCTCATGGGATGGAGTCAGAGATGAAGCTCTCCTGTCTCTTATTATTACTACTAAGGTGCTAATCTTGCATGAGGATTCAACTCGCCGTGCATATTTACATCTGAAAAGTCCCATCTCCAAATACTGTCACAGCAGGGTTTCTTAGATATCAACATGAATTTTGAGTGGTGTAAGCATCAAGCCTCATCACCCTGAATGAGGAGTGAGAACATTAAGGATCAGAGATATATTAAATAATTTGGTCCAGGGCTCACAGATAGTAAGAGGTAGAACTAAAGTTTACATACCTGAATCTGATTCCAAAGCTCACGTTTTTTCTAGACTCTTTCATATGCTGAAAATGGCCTGTAACCAAGCAGCACAACTTCAGTGCTTTTGGATACTGTCTGTTTCATACTGATCTAATAAAATTTCCCCAATTAAGACCATCATAACCACTACAGTTGAGATAGTCTATTTTGAGTTCTCTAGTTTCCCAAACATATTAGTTATAACTTATCAAAATAATTTATTGGGTCAGAGATGATTTGTATGCTGCTATCATTTCTATTTAAGTTTTATATATTGGCCCCTGTTTCAAGAGATATTTTTCCATTTCCCTTCATAGAGCCTGGTAAACATTTTGTAGCAAAAATATGTCAGTTACCTTAAAAGCAATATATTGTCAGATTCATAGATCAGATCAGGCTGTTTCCCAAATCCAATCAAAATCCAATATGAGTTTAATTGGAGACACCACTGCATGTTCTATGAGCACAGTATCTGAATGAATGGTCTCTACCTTCAAAGGTTTATGATTTAATCTTAACAGGAACTTGTTGAAGAGAATTGTGGTCATACACACCTGCCATCCCAGCACTCAGAAGACTGAGGCAGAGGGATAGAGAGTTTATTACATAGTCAGTTGTAGGCCAGTTTGGGCTACATGGAGAGACTTTGTCTCAGCTAAACAAAACACAGTCATACAAAATAAAAAAAAGCAAAGCAAACCGAAATAACGCATTGAAAATGGCAGTAATGGTAATATTATTTAAATCTTTTTGTGACTGAATTCTTTAACATACTTAGGTATACATTGGGTAAAAATGCTTTAATTTTAATTTCTTCAATGGGAAACCCAAACCACAAAAGAGACAGGTGGCTGCTTCAATTTTCTGGTGGTAACAGACAGAACCCCTGTGGCTGAGGCATCCTACTCCCGGGAAGCTATGTAGTGGGGCTGTCCCTTTGTAGCTGCCCATATCTTCGTGAATGAGATCCTGGTGAACAATGGGAAAATTTTATTCTTATAAATGTTTATTGAGGATTGATGACTCTGAGAATTTTCACAAAATTTATACTTAGAAAAAAGGAGCACAAAGAAATTAGGTACATATTTAAATGAGCTCCAGTACTTTGCACATACAGTTAGGTGACAAGGCTTTCTTTATACGATAGAATAGCTTTGCTACATGGCATGTATTTGGGTGGGTCTCACAACAGGGCATCAACAAGCAAGTCAGCAAATATTCACTGAGAGCCTGTGACATGTTAAACACAGTGAGATATAACAGACAAAAAGTTCAGCACGGTGGTTTTCATGTAGAGATGCTGTATAGACTAATACCCAAGGGGAGAAAGAAACCAGCCCTGTGATGAGTGGGGGGAGGGCGAATTCTTCTAGGTATTTAAAGATGCAAGTGAAAAGACTGTTGTAGGCGTGAACTTGGCATGTACACATAAAAGGCCAGTGTGGTTGATAAGAATAAGTGAGGGAAGAGTAGTTGGAGAAAGGGAAAAGAGACCCATGAAGACATTATGAGGATTTTGGCTCTTTCTCTCAGTGAAATAAAGAATAAAATTTAGTAGAGTGTTTTGTTTTGAGAGTAGTTATGTGTTGAGAATTGACTGTGGTTGGATCAAGGGTAGTAAGGATGTAACATTTGCCATTTAGAAGACTGATGAAGTAACTCAGGAGAAAGAAGGAAGTGACATGACAATTGTATTAAGATATTATTGGAGTCCGATGTGCTACAATAATTTCTTGACTTAACAGAAAGACGGGTGAAAGAGGATGCCAGGGTTTGGGGCTTGAGCAGTCAGT